AAAATACTTTTTTTCCTTTTTCCTATATTTCCTAATTCAGGAACAGGAGGGAGAAAAAGTCCCAAAACAAAAATAAGTCCAAAGAAAATGTTCTAACTAGACGGCCCGCTTTGATCTAACTAAACTTCAATTCAATTTTTCAATTTTATTTATATAGCGCCACATCACAACAACAGTTGTCTTTGGGTTAGGGTTAGGGTTAGGGCTCACAGCTGGATCCGTCCTGAGAGTTTAAATCCAGAAGCAAACATCTGTTTAGATGTGAAATCAAAATTGGAGAGATTTAACCTGCAGCCTTCACTTTTTGTCCATTTAATCAATGATGGCTTGTTTAGTTTTGTATTTAGCTCTTAGCTGGTATGGACTCCTGTTTGAATCCATTTGTGTTGTTCCAACTTGGTCTAGTAATGTAATGATAATGTAATAATAATGTAATAATGAAGCTCTTTCATGAGAAATTCATATCTGGTGAAATCTTGTATGATGCTTTCGTTCAGGAAGAAGAAATCATGTATCTCAGTGTATTTCAACAAATAAACAATTAAATAGATAATTAAATAAATAAATAATAAAACACAAATAAATAACTAGATAAATTAACAAATAAATAAATACATAGACAGATAAATAAATAAATACATAAATAAATAATCAAACACATAAATAAATAAATAAATAAATAAATAAATAAATAAATAAATAAATAAATAAATAAATAAAGAAATGATAGAATGAATGCTAAACTGCTTTAACTCTATGTCCTTTTTCCGGTGGAATCTTTCTCTTTTTTTTTTTTGTTAAGGAAAGACGAAGCCTTCAAAACAAGTGCACAAGACATTTATTATACATACTGTCTGGAGTCATAGAAACAACTTAAAACACTTCATCTGCACACAGACGTCCGGTTCCATCGTCCTCCGTCCTCCGTCCTGGACTTTTGCTTAATCCGGACTCTGAACGCGTCATTTTAAACGGAGCTAAGCGCCCGAAACCGAGGCCTCAACAATCAGGCTGAGGCTGAGAAACATGGAAATCACAGAATGTGGATGAGAGCTGCCTCATCCCCAGAGAGACGCCTTAAAGTGGACATACAGTCACAGCTAGTATTAGTGCAATATAGAAGACGACAGATAAATAAGTGAGGAAATGTTAGGAAATTCAGATATCGGATTGCTCCCGAACACCACGTCAGTCCTCCGGTCGTTCCGTTAAAGTCGATTTTTTTTATTCTAAGCACTTTTCAAATTCCACTCGTTCCGTTAAAGTCGATTTTT